TATATCTGGTCTACTGACTGACTGATTATTTTGCAAACTGATTAATGACGAACTGGAATCTGAGCAAATGATAGATTTTAATGGTCTTACCTCTTCCACCCATTGAACTGCTAAAAGCAAAGCTAGCATTTCACCGGTATATACTGAAACTCCATCACTAATCCTTTTTCCAACATTAATATGAAACTGTGGTATAATAAATGCTATCCCTACCCTATTAGCTGTATTTTTTGATGCATCTGTATATATTTGTATATAATTATAATAGTTATTTAAGTGTTCTTGTACTATAAATTTATTCATAATATGATATTTATCTTTTTCCTTCTTTTCTAATAATGAGAGATCAACTTTAGCATCAGGAAGTATCCAAGGTGGAATTGCTGTTATTGGAACTGTCTGACATATAGCTAACTGATTTAAATTAATTTCATTAACTTTAGTGTTTATTACCCATCCAAAGCTCTTTAATTGTTTCTTTTCCTTTTCCCATCCAGGTTTAAGCACCTCTAATGTTGGATGATCCTTCCTTTGTCCCTGTAAATTTGACCAGTAGTTTAAAGATAATTGATCTCTTCTAATTTTAAGTGGCATTTCTCCCATTTCAACCTGTAATGCTGCTGCTGTTGAAGAAGTTCTAAAAGCGCCTGTACATATTCTTAAAGCCTGATGTTGAAGGCTATTTAACTTATGGAGGTTTGTATCTGCTGCTGAGTTATACACTATACATCCATAGTCAAGGACGGACCTGATTAACCCAGTATAAATAGCTTTTAATGATTTTCTATCAGCCCCCCACTCTGTTCCAACTAAACACCTCATTATATTTATTACCTTCCTACATTTATCGATTATATTCTTAATGTGTACACCCCATGTCATTCTTTCATCAAACCACATCCCGAGAAATTTAAATTGTTTGACTCTTTCCAAATCCTGACCATATAATTTTAAGATAGTTTTTTCATCAATTCTTTTCCTTGTAAAAAACATTATTTTAGTTTTCTCTACTGAGAATTTAAAACCCCATTTATATGACCATTTTTCTACAACTGAAATTGCTTCCTGAAGTTTCTTTACAATAAATTCAAAATTTCTTCCTCTTTTCCACATTGCTCCATCATCTGCAAATAATGAGAATCCCATTCCACCCTCTATTTCTTTAAACATATCATTAACTATCACTGAAAATAATAACGGACTTACTATACTTCCCTGTGGTGTTCCATTTTCAATTTTCCAACTCTCAGAATAATCCTCCCCTATCCTCACTTGTATTCTTCGATCTTCTAGAAAATTTTTAATCCATCGAAACATATGACCATTTATACCCATTCTTCTAATTTTAATTAATAACCCTTCCCTCCACATCATGTCATATGCTCTCTCAATGTCAAAAAATACTGCCACAACACTTTCTTTATTCACCTGTGCCTTTCTAATTTCATGCTCTAAACACAAAACTGGATCCATTGTACCTCTACCTCTTCTAAAACCACTTTGATAAGATGATATAAGTCCCTTCTTTTCAATATAATATATTAATCTTTCATTTATCATTCTCTCCATTATTTTACATAAGTTGGATGTTAAAGCTATTGGCCGATAATTTCCTGGTTTTGATTCATCTTTCCCTGGTTTTCTGATTGGAACAATCACGGCCTCCTTCCAACTCTTTGGTAATTCCCCATCTTCCCATATCCTATTATACATTTCTAATAAAATATTTTTTGAAGATTCACTTAAGTTGCTAATCATAACATAATAAATTTGATCTTTTCCTGGAGCTGATAATTTATATTTTTTAAAAGCCCTATTCAGTTCTGTTATTGTAAACAACATGTTCAACGGTTCATTTGTATCTTCTATTTGCTGTAATAAATACTTGTTCTCCAAAATAGTCTTTTCTCTCCCTTTTTTCCCTTCTTGACTAATATTTTCAGAACTATGAATTTTAACAAAGGTATTTACCAACATTTTTGCCTTTTCTCTGTCAGTAACTGCTGTTATTTCTCCTTCATTTAATATTGGATATCCACTCGTTCTTTTAATCCCATTCATCCTTTTAATTGTTGTCCATACCTTAGAAATATCTGTCTCCCTCCCTACTGAATTACAGAAACTCCTCCAATAATCTCTTTTTGCATTTTTAATAATTCTTCTTACATTTGCTTGTAATTTCTTGTAACTATTCAGATTCTGAAAATTGTGATTTCTTTTTAATAATTTGAAAGCTTTATTTCGTTTCTTGATAATCTCTCTACATTCTGATGTCCACCAGGGCACCAACCTTCTTTCCCTTCCCCCACCTGTCTTCCTTATAGCCTGATTAGCAGCTTCTAAGATAGCATTACATATAGAAACATTTATTTCATCAATATTACCACTCATATCCACTTTTAACATTTTCATTTCACTACTATTCCTAAAGGTTTTCCAATCTGTTGACCTAAAACACCATTTCTTTATCCCTTTTATACAATACCTTTCTATATTTAACTTTATTTCAATCAAAATAGGATAATGATCACTTCCTATAGTTGTTTTATTGATTATTTGCCATAAACAAACACCTGCTATAGAATTTGAAACTAATGTTAAATCAATTGCTGACTCTGTATTATCTCTAAAATTGATTCTGGTTCCACTTCCATCATTTAAACATACCAAATTTTTAACATCCATTATTTCTTCTATTATATCCCCATTTTGGTCATTATGATTACCCCATAATGTACTATGTCCATTAAAGTCCCCACACCATATAACCTTACCCTCTAAATATACCCCAAGTTCCTCCATTAAATCTATTGAAAGTCTTTTACATGGATTATAGAAGTTGATTATTTTAAATGGCCCATTTACTGTCCAAATTTCAGTAACGATGTATTCTAAATCTTTACCTTTAGCCAGTAATCTAAATTGAATTCCCTGTTTTATGAATGTTATACACCCTCCTCCAGATCCTCCCTCTCTGTCTCTTCTTATGCTTTCATATCCTTTTATAACAAAATCAAGATTTATTTTAAGCCAAGTTTCCTGAATACATATAATATCTAGATCTTCTTTAAATTCTTTAACAAATCCTTTAAACTCTTGTCCGTTTGCAATAAGGCTTCTAGCGTTCCATTGTAAGATGTTCAGATTTTGTCTTCCTGTCCTCCTGCCTTTCCTTCTGCCCCTAGTCTCTTATTTATGTGTTCCCAGGATATGTCCTTTTTACCAAAAAACCTCTCTGCCCCTTTCACAATTATTTTGATTTTTTCTGTTTTTTGTTTAACTTGATCCGTACAATTTATGACATATGCAATGAACAGCAAAATATTTTCAATTGTTAGCACATTTTCCATCCCACTCTGTTTTTGTTCTGGTGTTGGATTTGGCTGAACTTTCTTTATCACTTCTTTTGGCTTCACTCTTTTAGCAGCTTCTGCATAACTTATATTACTAGTGACTTTTACTTGTTCAATTTCCATTGCTTTTCTTCTGACCTCACATCCCCCATAAGTCACTCTATGTTGCCCTCCACAATTACAACAAGTTTCCTTCCCATTTTCACATTCATCATAGCTATGTTCTCCTCCACACTTTGGACATCTTTGTTTTCCCCTACATGCTGCAGCGATGTGTCCATATCTCTGGCATTTATAACACCTGAGAGGCGGAGGGATATATGGCCTTACAGGAAAGCACATACACCCAACTTTTACTCTTTCAGGAAGAACATTTGTTTGAAACTCCAACATTACAGAGAGACTTTCCACTCTTTCACCTTCAACTGTTCTCATCAATCTTTTAATTTTGCTTACTTTTCCTCCATAAATGCTGCATCGGAACTTTTCCAGATCTTCCTCCACCGGAATACCTGTTATCACCCCTCTTACTACTTTATCCTCTCCCACAATCTTAACCTGTGTAATATTTTTTTTACAAATACTCTGGGCGCTCATTACTTTTTTCTTCTGTTCTTCATTTCTTACTGTAACCAACAGATTTCCATCTCTAAGGATCTTAGCAAATGTTATCTCTCCAAACTTCTTTTTTAACTCTTTCGACAGAGCTAATGGACTGAGATGAATACCTTCATCCTCCTTCCTAAACTTTATTATTAGTTTAGCTTCCTCACAAACAATCCTCTTGCAAACTGCATTATTTTCATCCGAACTGTTTCCTTCAAGACTCCGTTTGCTACTTTGTCTCTCTGACACATTCCCTTCTCTTCTCTCTCTTCCTGACCCTTTACTACCACTCACAGGAGTCCAACCAACTAAATCCATCTCATCATCTCCTTCATCCTCACCCTGAGACGCCATAGCAGTCCATTCACAAACCAGTTTATGCCAGCCGCCAACGTTCAGTCCTTCTCCCGCCTTGCCTTTCTCCTCCAAAGCCCAAAACCGATTTTGTTGTCGAATCGACCCACCAACCTTCCGAGCCACGGCTGCGTCTCAATTCGCAGGCCTGCCCCCCCCACCCAAAACACCATCTTTCACCTGAGCTACCTGGAGTCCATGTATTTATATACCAGACACCCAGACAAAATCAATTAACTAATTAAACAATTTACTAAGAAATAATTGTATTCTAAGCAACTACTTTTAAACAAAAATGCAACAAATAACCAAATAAATACAAACTAACAAAATAATTTAAGTTCTAAAACAAAAATAGAGAAATAGCTCCCAGAACAATTTTAAAAGTATAAATTATAACGCTTCTTTATATTTTTAGGGGACGTTTCCATCACGTTCCAAATGTATACATGTGACGTCATCCGCACTAAGGAACGTAAGCGACGTAATCAGGGCTACATGAACAAACAGATAACGGACCGATAGCCGAGTGGACTTTCAATAGCTCTGCTTTCCAAATGCCTCGGCGCTTTAACAAAAGGTGTGGAATGAAAATGTTTATTATGTGACTTCGAGAAGCATTTTGGCCCGTAGTGGTAGCTTAAACTAGGCTAGAATGCTCATGTCCCCCCGGGCTAACAGTAGGAGCCGCTGTTAGCATAGCTAACGGGCTAACGGTTATGTCCGCTGACCAGCGGCTGCCAGCTGGAGTAGAAGCTGCCGCTTCTTTTGCCTTATTAGCCAGCCGAACATTAGAATTGTGGTTGAATAAATTTGAGGCAGATAAAATTTTATTTTTATCGCAATTTTTATGTCTGCGTTGGATATTAAAATAATCGCAGAATGGGAATGTGCTTGCCGTGCCTTGGTGGAGCAGCGGACGACGTTGTTGTCACCCCGGATCCAGTAAGTTAATGCTATTTATCACATTTCCCTTCAGATATAGCGCCAAATAAGCCAAAAAAAATAAAGGTCAGAAATATACAAATGTCACGTTACTATTTCCCAAACTGCATATACGCATATATACAAAAAGGCTTGTTATAAGCGCTTCACATGACGTCACAGCTCTAAAGTTTTCTGTTTCCTAAACAGGAGACAAGGAGGAGGCAGTTAGCAGAAGCTGCTGAGAAAAGACAAAAAGAGGTCAGTAAGGATGTTTATTATGTTACGATTTAATATCTGATATCGTGTCAAATTTAAGGCATTAAGAAAACTTGCTGCCAAATATTACTGCCATATTGGCCCATTGCTGCAAATCTATCTTATATATCTAAATAATGCCGCATCGAAACGAAGTGTATAATTGTGATGTAAATAGCAGTTTGCATTCTTTTCTTTTTTACATCTAAGTATCTGATAAGTTTGACTTTTTAGAAGATTACTTTCTTCTTATTCTGTCTTAGATTGTAATAGAATTCTGTCTTAGAATGTCATAGAATTTTATCTTAGAATGTGGTAGAATTCTATCTTAGATTGTGATAGAATTCTATCTTAGATTGTGATAGAATTCTATCTTAGATTGTGGTAGAATTCTATCTTAGATTGTGGTAGAATTCTATCTTAGATTGTGGTAGAATTCTATCTTAGATTGTGATAGAATTCTATCTTAGAATGTGATAGAGTTCTATCTTAGATTGTGGTAGAATTCTATCTTAGATTGTGATAGAATACTAATGTGATAGAATTCTATCGTAGAATGTGATAGTGTTCTATCTTAGAATGTGATAGAATTCTATCTTAGAATGTGGTAGAATTCTATCTTAGATTGTGATAGAATTCTATCTTAGATTGTGGTAGAATTCTATCTTAGAATGTGGTAGAATTCTATCTTAGATTGTGGTAGAATTCTATCTTAGATTGTGGTAGAATTCTATCTTAGATTGTGGTAGAATTCTATCTTAGATTGTGGTAGAATTCTATCGTAGAATGTGATAAAATTCTATCGTAGAATGTGATAGAGTTCTATCTTAGATTGTGGTAGAATTCTATCTTAGATTGTGATAGAATACTAATGTGATAGAATTCTATCTTACAATGTTATAGAAGTCTATCCTAGAATGTGATAGAGTTCTATCTTAGAATGTGATAGAATTCTATCTTAGATTGTGGTAGAATTCTATCTTAGATTGTGATAGAGTTCTATCTTAGATTGTGCTAGAATTCTATCTTAGATTGTGGTAGAGTTCTATCTTAGATTGTGGTAGAATTCTATCTTAGATTGTGATAGAATACTAATGTGATAGAGTTCTATCTTAGAATGTGATAGAATTCTGTCTTAGAATGTGATAGAATTCTATCTTAGATTGTGGTAGAATTCTATCTTAGATTGTGGTAGAATTCTATCTTAGATTGTGGTAGAATTCTATCTTAGATTGTGGTAGAATTCTATCTTAGATTGTGATAGAATACTAATGTGATAGAGTTCTATCGTAGAATGTGATAGAGTTCTATTTTAGATTGTGGTAGAATTCTATCTTAGATTGTGATAGAATACTAATGTGATAGAATTCTATCTTACAATGTTATAGAAGTCTATCCTAGAATGTGATAGAGTTCTATCTTAGAATGTGATAGAATTCTATCTTAGATTGTGGTAGAATTCTATCTTAGATTGTGATAGAGTTCTATCTTAGATTGTGCTAGAATTCTATCTTAGATTGTGGTAGAGTTCTATCTTAGATTGTGGTAGAATTCTATCTAAGTTTGTGGTAGAATTCTATCTTAGATTGTGGTAGAATTCTATCTTAGATTGTGGTAGAATTCTATCTTAGATTGTGATAGAATACTAATGTGATAGAGTTCTATCTTAGAATGTGATAGAATTCTGTCTTAGAATGTGATAGAATTCTATCTTAGATTGTGGTAGAATTCTATCTTAGATTGTGGTAGAATTCTATCTTAGATTGTGGTAGAATTCTATCTTAGATTGTGGTAGAATTCTATCTTAGATTGTGATAGAATACTAATGTGATAGAGTTCTATCGTAGAATGTGATAGAGTTCTATCTTAGATTGTGGTAGAATTCTATCTTAGATTGTGATAGAATACTAATGTGATAGAGTTCTATCGTAGAATGTGATAGAGTTCTATCTTAGATTGTGGTAGAATTCTATCTTAGAATGTGATAGAATACTAATGTGATAGAATTCTATCTTACAATGTGATAGAATTCTATCTTAGATTGTGGTAGAATTCTATCTTAGATTGTGGTAGAATTCTATCTTAGATTGTGATAGAATACTAATGTGATAGAATTCTATCTTACAATGTTATAGAAGTCTATCCTAGAATGTGATAGAGTTCTATCTTAGAATGTGATAGAATTCTATCTTAGATTGTGGTAGAATTCTATCTTAGATTGTGATAGAGTTCTATCTTAGATTGTGCTAGAATTCTATCTTAGATTGTGGTAGAGTTCTATCTTAGATTGTGGTAGAATTCTATCTTAGATTGTGGTAGAATTCTATCTTAGATTGTGGTAGAATTCTATCTTAGATTGTGATAGAATACTAATGTGATAGAGTTCTATCGTAGAATGTGATAGAGTTCTATTTTAGATTGTGGTAGAATTCTATCTTAGATTGTGATAGAATACTAATGTGATAGAATTCTATCTTACAATGTTATAGAAGTCTATCCTAGAATGTGATAGAGTTCTATCTTAGAATGTGATAGAATTCTATCTTAGATTGTGGTAGAATTCTATCTTAGATTGTGATAGAGTTCTATCTTAGATTGTGCTAGAATTCTATCTTAGATTGTGGTAGAGTTCTATCTTAGATTGTGGTAGAATTCTATCTTAGATTGTGGTAGAATTCTATCTTAGATTGTGGTAGAATTCTATCTTAGATTGTGGTAGAATTCTATCTTAGATTGTGATAGAATACTAATGTGATAGAGTTCTATCTTAGAATGTGATAGAATTCTGTCTTAGAATGTGATAGAATTCTATCTTAGATTGTGGTAGAATTCTATCTTAGATTGTGGTAGAATTCTATCTTAGATTGTGGTAGAATTCTATCTTAGATTGTGGTAGAATTCTATCTTAGATTGTGATAGAATACTAATGTGATAGAGTTCTATCTTAGAATGTGATAGAATTCTGTCTTAGAATGTGATAGAATTCTATCTTAGATTGTGGTAGAATTCTATCTTAGATTGTGGTAGAATTCTATCTTAGATTGTGGTAGAATTCTATCTTAGATTGTGATAGAATACTAATGTGATAGAGTTCTATCGTAGAATGTGATAGAGTTCTATCTTAGATTGTGGTAGAATTCTATCTTAGAATGTGATAGAATACTAATGTGATAGAATTCTATCTTACAATGTGATAGAATTCTATCTTAGATTGTGGTAGAATTCTATCTTAGATTGTGGTAGAATTCTATCTTAGATTGTGATAGAATACTAATGTGATAGAGTTCTATCTTAGATTGTGATAGAATACTAATGTGATAGAGTTCTATCGTAGAATGTGATAGAGTTCTATCTTAGATTGTGGTAGAATTCTATCTTAGAATGTGATAGAATACTAATGTGATAGAATTCTATCTTACAATGTGATAGAATTCTATCTTAGATTGTGGTAGAATTCTATCTTAGATTGTGGTAGAATTCTATCTTAGATTGTGATAGAATACTAATGTGATAGAATTCTATCTTACAATGTTATAGAAGTCTATCCTAGAATGTGATAGAGTTCTATCTTAGAATGTGATAGAATTCTATCTTAGATTGTGGTAGAATTCTATCTTAGATTGTGATAGAGTTCTATCTTAGATTGTGCTAGAATTCTATCTTAGATTGTGGTAGAGTTCTATCTTAGATTGTGGTAGAATTCTATCTTAGATTGTGGTAGAATTCTATCTTAGATTGTGGTAGAATTCTATCTTAGATTGTGATAGAATACTAATGTGATAGAGTTCTATCTTAGAATGTGATAGAATTCTGTCTTAGAATGTGATAGAATTCTATCTTAGATTGTGGTAGAATTCTATCTTAGATTGTGGTAGAATTCTATCTTAGATTGTGGTAGAATTCTATCTTAGATTGTGGTAGAATTCTATCTTAGATTGTGATAGAATACTAATGTGATAGAGTTCTATCTTAGATTGTGGTAGAATTCTATCTTAGAATGTGATAGAATACTAATGTGATAGAATTCTATCTTACAATTTGATAGAATTCTATCTTAGATTGTGGTAGAATTCTATCTTAGATTGTGGTAGAATTCTATCTTACAATGTTATAGAATTCTATCGTAGAATGTGATAGAGTTCTATCTTAGAATGTGATAGAATTCTGTCTTAGAATGTAATAGAATTCTATCTTAGATTGTGATAGAATACTAATGTGATAGAATTCTATCTTACAATGTTATAGAATTCTATCTTACAATGTGATAGAATTCTATCTTAGATTGTGGTAGAATTCTATCTTAGATTGTGGTAGAATTCTATCTTAGATTGTGATAGAATACTAATGTGATAGAATTCTATCTTACAATGTTATAGAAGTCTATCCTAGAATGTGATAGAATTCTATCTTAGATTGTGGTAGAATTCTATCTTAGATTGTGGTAGAATTCTATCTTAGATTGTGGTAGAATTCTATCTTAGATTGTGATAGAATACTAATGTGATAGAGTTCTATCTTAGATTGTGGTAGAATTCTATCTTAGAATGTGATAGAATACTAATGTGATAGAATTCTATCTTACAATTTGATAGAATTCTATCTTAGATTGTGGTAGAATTCTATCTTAGATTGTGGTAGAATTCTATCTTACAATGTTATAGAATTCTATCGTAGAATGTGATAGAGTTCTATCTTAGAATGTGATAGAATTCTGTCTTAGAATGTAATAGAATTCTATCTTAGATTGTGATAGAATACTAATGTGATAGAATTCTATCTTACAATGTTATAGAATTCTATCTTACAATGTGATAGAATTCTATCTTAGATTGTGGTAGAATTCTATCTTAGATTGTGGTAGAATTCTATCTTAGATTGTGATAGAATACTAATGTGATAGAATTCTATCTTACAATGTTATAGAATTCTATCTTACAATGTGATAGAAGTCTATCCTAGAATGTGATAGAGTTCTATCTTAGAATGTGATAGAATTCTATCTTAGATTGTGGTAGAATTCTATCTTAGATTGTGATAGAGTTCTATCTTAGATTGTGCTAGAATTCTATCTTAGATTGTGGTAGAGTTCTATCTTAGATTGTGGTAGAATTCTATCTTAGATTGTGGTAGAATTCTATCTTAGATTGTGGTAGAATTCTATCTTAGATTGTGATAGAATACTAATGTGATAGAGTTCTATCTTAGAATGTGATAGAATTCTGTCTTAGAATGTGATAGAATTCTATCTTAGATTGTGGTAGAATTCTATCTTAGATTGTGGTAGAATTCTATCTTAGATTGTGGTAGAATTCTATCTTAGATTGTGGTAGAATTCTATCTTAGATTGTGATAGAATACTAATGTGATAGAATTCTATCTTAGAATGTGATAGAATACTAATGTGATAGAATTCTATCTTACAATTTGATAGAATTCTATCTTAGATTGTGGTAGAATTCTATCTTAGATTGTGGTAGAATTCTATCTTACAATGTTATAGAATTCTATCGTAGAATGTGATAGAGTTCTATCTTAGAATGTGATAGAATTCTGTCTTAGAATGTAATAGAATTCTATCTTAGATTGTGATAGAATACTAATGTGATAGAATTCTATCTTACAATGTTATAGAATTCTATCGTAGAATGTGATAGAGTTCTATCTTAGAATGTGATAGAATTCTGTCTTAGAATGTAATAGAATTCTATCTTAGATTGTGATAGAATACTAATGTGATAGAATTCTATCTTACAATGTTATAGAATTCTATCGTAGAATGTGATAGAGTTCTATCTTAGAATGTAATAGAATTCTATCTTAGATTGTGATAGAGTTCTATCTTTGTGCTCCCTTCACTTAAAAGCTGTTTAATATAATTAATCACACAAACGCAGTCTCTATCAAACAGGAGATTTCTGTGGGAAAGGAGTCGGATTGTATTTTATTTATAGGCGTCCAATTAAGAAAGGATGAATACAACATTATACTCGTTTATTCTAATTGTAGTAAGAAAAAATTGCATCCATCTCTTTCTTCCATTGCCTGATGTCCCAGTCACGCATATTTGTGTTCTTTCAACGTTTTATTTTTTTTCTTTTTTTTTTGTAAGTACAAACCACTCTAATGCTTTTGCAGATGAAGTTCAACTAAAAAACAAAACTTTCCTCCAACGTAACCTAAAATATTAGTATTTCAGCCACACGATGCATGAATCCAGTAAGCTATTACCTGATTATAAAATGTACATAACTTGTATTTAAGGGAGGATTTCTGTGCATTGTGGTGAGCATTTTTTTATTGTGCAGAAAAGACACTTGCAAACCTGTAAGAGACATGCTAAAGCTAAGCCAAGGTAAGTAAAACCAGGTCAGACTGGAAGTCCAGCTCTGTGGTTGGCTAATATTCCTGCTGCTTCATCTTCCTGCACTTCATCACTGTTATGATTTAACCTGAAGTTCAGACCGCTGCAAGAAAAAGCACAGAGCTCTAACCCACAGAGCAGGCAGCGCAGCACCACTGAAACCAGCGCCATCTTTTCGCTGCAGTGCCATATTTGGCAATTGAATGCGAGCACGCTCGTTCTGAGCAGATCTACAGTTCGTTTTTTAAAAGTTTGAGTTTGAAGCAGAGCGAGGTTTTAAAGGCACAGATGCTAGCATGTTCACGCAGTATTTCTAACATTTAGAGGAATTTACATTTGTCTACTCGGGCTTTATTGTTTTTGTTTTTCTCTCTGATTTCCAGACAGCATACAGGGGGGTCAAAAATCCAGATGCAGTTGAAAGGAAAAGGAAGAAACAAGAAGAAGTCGAGAAGCAGACAATGACCACCTCTGTATCCGGTGGTGGCGGTGGATTAAAGGTAAATTTAGCTTTATTCCTGTTTCTGCTGTTAAATACATCCTATTCTAAGCAAGTGTTGTTTTGTCAATATTTCTGCTGGATATTTGTACATAACAATATATACACTGCAAAAACAATTGAGAAGTAAGTAAAATGAAAAATGGCCAAGAATCGCACTTTGACCCAAAATGGCCGACTTCCTGTGGGTTTTAGGGCATACCTCCAAGAGACTTTTTTTCATGATTTGAGGAGATCTACCTGTGAGCCAAATTTCAAATCTCTGTGACTTACAGTTTCCCCCAACTCACGTTAGGGGGCGTAATTTGGGGGCGGCCATTTTGGATTCCATTATAGACCGGCTATTCCACGCGGGGGACAATTTACTGCCACGTTTTCCTGAGTTTTTGAATATGCGAAGTCCCTGTAAAATGCGTTCGAAGTGAGAAAAGAAAAAAAAAATATATTTAGCCCTAATTTGAGTAGGTAAATAAGATGATTTGCCAATGGAATGAGGTGTTTTACTCTTAAAATAAGATAATATGCACTGCAAATAAGACAATGCAATTGTTTTCTTATTTTAAATAAATTCAAACTGTCTCACTTATCTCTTCAATTCAAGAAGAAAATTAACTTTTTTTTAAAAGGAAAGAATCTCTTATTTAGATATCAATATTTTGCAGTGTATCATGTTCCTTTTCTAATGCTACGTTCACACCTGAAGCAGCAGAAGCAGCTAGCTTACATGCATATGTTTGATTTAATTATCCTGCTGCCTGCAGTTTGGATTAGGTACCTTCAAAAAAACAAAATAACATCTATTTCCAGCCGTCGCTAACAGTAGCAGAAAACCCTGGAGAGGCGAGCGGGCCTGAGGCAGCTGCTGCTGGGGATTCCCAGTGACAGCGCAGCGCCGGTATGTGGGGGTCTGAGCGGCTCCCACAGAGAAATAATCTTTGAAGGCAGGATGGTAATCTGGATGAACTGACTGCACTGACCATGTTTTCAGGAGGACTTTCTCACTTCAACATAGATTCTAACTACTTTCTACCCGCTGATCACAGCTAATATAGCTGCCATTGTTCCAGGCAGAGAAAGGATAGGGTAGCTCCGCCCACCGCGCATCAGACCCACTTTAACACCGTACAGCTAGAGCAGCAAAGATGCTTCAGCCGCGCGTCAGAACTAAACTTGTACAAACATCCAGAATGAAGCAGTATGTGTTTTTGCTGCTCCTGCTGCGTGCCGTCTGAACGTAGCATAATATATAGTCAATCTTTGCCTTAAAATGGTTTGAATGTCTGCTACATCTGTCGTAACAGACCTCAAAGTTTAATCTGACCCCAGCATGTAATAAAGGATTCATCCGTCTCATTTAATGAAGGTGTGAAACCAACTCTGTTTCTTGATCTTTCTCTGTTTTGTCTTCAGTGGCAGGTTGGATGAAACCCAGAAGGCGAAGTAAGACCTGGAAAGTTGGAATCCACATGGAGTCAGTCTGCTGGATTACTTGAAGAAGAAAAAAAAGTTGAATATGCTGCCCAGTTAAACTCACACTGCTTTTTTTTTCTTTTTAATGACATGTCATCACTATTTAATACAGACGTTGGTTCAGAGAAATGGAGCCTTTCCTGTCAAATTATGTCTGACAGTTTTGGACATTTGGACAGGTCAAAGTTTAGGTTCCAGCTTCTTGGTCGCTGAAAATCCTAAGGAAGTGTAATAGTATCCGTTTTGCTGAACTTGGTCGGCTGATGGCCGTTGCCTTTTTTATTGGAAGGCTGGTTTCTTTGAGGTTTTACTTTTTTTGCACCGTTTTGTGTTTGTTGCAGGAGAGCAACCCCCTTTTTTTCCCCTTCCAAACCATCTGTCCTGATGATACAATTGCGTTGCCACTTTGGTTATTCCACTCAGCAAACTTTCAGCCTTTATTTAATAATAAAGTTTGATGTTAAACAGCGGTGAATATTTTCCAGAGCAGGGCGAGCGTTCATGACCCTGGTGCATGCAACCTCTACAGCACTTTATAAATCAGTCCCGCTTCATTGTACTGCTTGACTTTATTCATTTGAATTTAACTGTAAAACACTAAATATTTATTTGGTTTGATTTAAAGAGTTTTTCCCTTTATTGTATGATTTGCCACAACTCCTAACTTATTACTAACTTATTCTCTCTGCTGTGTGTGGCGGTTTTCCGAAGCAGCAGCTGTGCTTTCCTATTCTCACACAATGTGCCCGATTACAACTTTAGTGACAAATGTTCTTTGAAGTGCTTAACTGAGACTTTTATCCTGCAGCTCCTTCAAAGCTTCTGGTGCTCTAGTCATTTTGTAGGACAGAGAATATGGCCAATAATACTTGCTACAGTTAATAAAGCACATTTCTGCTATTTGTTTCAGTTCAGTTTATTTCTATAGCTCCAATTCACATCATGTCATCTCAGGTCACTTTCCAGTTCACTTCGTTTTATTCAAAGTTTTCTATCTAAGGAAAACCAGCTGATTGCATCGACTCATTGACTCTTCAGCAATCCCTCACACTAAGCATGCTTGTAGCGACAGTGGAGAGGAAAAACTCCCTTTGAACAGGAAGAAACTTCCAGCAGAACCAGGCTCAGTGTGAGCGGCTATCTGCTGAGGCCCACTGGGGTTCAAGGAGACAGAAGCAGACATAGAAAAAGAAGCATAGATACAAAAGGCAGCTGTCAACCAGCTCCACAGGCGGCCCCGTCCAGGAAACACACAGCCAGGCAGACGAGCTCCGAGCCAGCTCCCATGTCAGAGGATGAAGAGAGCACATCCAGTTAGTCACAGTCAGAGAAACAGGACTACACTGGAAAACAGGCCAAGCTCCAACATCTAGAAACAAAGGTGTTGATGGCAGCAGCACAGCTGATATTTCTCTCCAGGATGGAGTCACAGCCAAACAGGAACAGACGAGAAAAAGCAGAGAGAGCAGAACGTTAGAGATTGAACTAACAGATTCTGCAGAGTGGGAGAATAGAGATAGAAGGAAGCAGAATGATGAAAAAGGGGTCCCTATGTCCTCCAGCAGTCTAAGCCTATAGCAGCAGAACTATAGAGATAGCTCATGATTAGCTAAATCTCCAGGTCTGTTTGGACTCCAGATGCTTAATTACGTTTTACATCACAACAAATAATGATAGATGTAGGTTTGATCAGAACAATATTTTAATGAATTATTTTAATTTTAAATCCAACAAAAGAGTTTAGATTTATAAATGAGACAAGGAGGATATCAGCAGTTCCAAACAGTCTTTATTTCAATTCTTGCCTCTAAAAATATTTTTTCTTATCTTAGAAATTTGATGTTTTTTAATCATTAGTCTCAGAAAAAAAATGTTTCAATAATAATATTCCATAAAAAAAAAAAAAAAAAAAACATAAACATCAATAAGCCCAGATTTATTACAGGAATGAAACATTACTGTACAACTCCCAACCTGAATGTTCCAACTTTGGTCACTAGAGGTCAGTAATGTACAAAAGAAACAGAAATGCAGCCTTTTCAGTCATAGTGAAGGTTCAGGTGTAAATGTTGACTTACAGATGATTTAGACATGAAATGATAAATTCAAAGTGGAAAATGCTGCAAAGCTGGAGTGTAAGCACCGCCTACACTCTGATCAGAAACATTAAAGTAGTGATGAGACCTTTATTTAGCTGATAGAGATATTTTAGGTAATAAGCAGCTTAAAGCTCTGATTAATTAATCCTTTTAAATCTCCTGCTATTTGAGATGCACACTAAACAAAAAAACAAATTACCCATTAAAAGTTTAATTTAGATGCTGATAGCTATTTCTCACTGTTATTTTTCTCAAAAAGTGTTTTTTTTTTTTTCATTTCATACACACCGGAAAAACGATCTAGAAATAAGTAAACATTTCTTAAATGAAGCATATTTACCCTTAATTTGAGTAGGTAAGTGAAATAGTTTGCCAATGAATGAGTATTTTTACTCTTAAAATAAGATAGTTAGATAATATGCACTTGAAATAAGACAATGCAATTGTGTTTTCTTATTTTAAGTGTAAATTGTCTTGTTCCATTCTTTTACCTCCTCAATTCATGAACAAATGCACTTATTTTAAGAAAAAAATAGTTATCTAGATGTCCATTTTTTTCAGTGCAGACATACACAGGAGGCCATTACATCCTCTGCCCACTGAAAGAACATTTATTGTTGCTTCAAGTATAACTATTAAAAACCAAATGTCAGGAACATCTAAGCACCTGTAAAACTTCACTGAAAATGTCAACAGAATTAATAGAAAGTTCCTAAACTAAATAAAAGAAATGAAAACACAAAATGCAAAGTATAAGATTCATTATTTTCCATTTTCTCCCCCTTTTTTAAAAGTCTTTTCTCCGTATCTTTGACGTTTTATAAGAACAAACATTGACTAGCAAAGCCGTATTGGTGTTGGGTAAATATAAAGAGACAGTCGTGCACCATGTGCGCCTGCGGCCATCACTTCTTGCTGCGGTAGTGAGCTGCCACAACCAGGTAGCTGTCGGGGGCGAGGTCTTTGATGTTGGGGGACTTGGTGGTGATGGGGGAAATCTTCCCCTCCACTCTGGAAATCTGCAGCATGCGGCAGGGATCGTGTTTCAGCAAATAGCTCTCGAAGGTCTCCCAGCCGCCGCCCACCCGCACCATCACATGCTTGTTGTGCAGCATCTACAACAAGAAATCAGATCCGGAGTGTGAAACCGGACTAAATGCTTCAGAAAGAAAAAAGAAAGCATGTTTCTAACTAGTTTATAAGAGAAATTATATTAGAGAGTAAAAGTCTGTGATAAAGTTCTGGTAAAAAAGGAAAAATATTCTTAATAGGTTGTTCATATCAATTTACCTACAACACCTCCTTTATGTTTAAGATTCAAATATGTTCCTTTAAGAGTCAGATTTTCTTATCGTAGTTTTAACTTAAACGATGTCGATTTATTTAACAAATAAAGTGACATTCCTTAGTTAAAAGAAAAACACCCAAAATGCAAGAAGAAGAAAGATGTCTGTAGAACATTGCAATGTTTTCTTTCAGAATGATGCCAGGGCATTTTAACAGTAACGCTAAAATATTACACAACATATTAAAAGCGTTTATAAAAGGTCGACTAAAAAATGAAAAGAACTTCAGTCATCTGAAATCCTTCTTGTGTGAATATCGTGTTTTCAGACAGAAGCTAGAAAAACCGCTTTTTATGCAGGAAAACTTTTTACTTTTTATACTTTTTTTATTTTATATTCATATTTTTATCTTAAGTGTATACAGTGGTGTGAAAAAGTGTTTGCCCCTTTCCTCATTTCCTGTTTTTTTGCATGTTTGTCACACTTAAGTGTTTCGGAACATCAAACTAATTTAAACAATAGTCAAGAACAACACAAGTAAACACAAAATGCAATTTGTAAATGAAGGTGTTTATTATTAAAGGAGAAAAAAATCCAAACCATCAAATTCACCAAATGTTGCCATATTTTTATATGTTGATATATTGACGCGGTATCGATCTATTTTACTAACAAAATCTCACAAGAATTTGCAAAATATCACGAGAGTTTGTAACAGAACGATGAAATTTCACCAGATTTTGAAAGTAAAATAGATCGATACCGCGTTTTTAAAAATCTATTTGATATCAGCATATGAAAATATATTTGAGTATATTATTTTTCAAAGTGTCAGAAATGGATAACAAAACTGCTATTTTCAATGACTACTTATTTTTGTCCAGCTTTAACATCGGTATCGATATCGGTTATCGGCTACATGAGTTTTAAAATATCGTATATCGGCCAAAATCCCAATATCCTGCATCCCTAATTTTTATGACATCAATTTATCTTTCTCTTAATTTAAACTCTGGATCTTTGGCTATTTTAATGAAAATCTGTAAATGAAAATCTAATACATTTGATTTATTTCTCCTAACGTATCATTTTAACTCTCAGAATCTCACATTTTATCTAAATTGTTCTTCTATCTGCAGAAAGACATTTTTGTTTGGTCTGTTTTAAATGCAACAAATGACCCATGTTTGTAAAACATATGATGTCTCTGCTGTTGGAGTCCAGTTTTTAGGACGTTTAACAGGATAATTAAGCAACCGGCCAGTTGGTACCTCAGACTGTTTGCATCTAGGCTGTATTTTCACTTAAACTGTCTGAAACGTGTCTAGTTTCTTGCAACAAAGGTCTATAAAGTGAATTTCTTTTCTGCGATATTCTTATGATGAGACCTGTGACATCAGGTTCGCTACCATGGAAACATGCCCCATTATAGAAAAACAGAAGAAGTAAAACATGCTGCTGTATTGGATGATGAAAAGCTTCCGAGTCGAGGCTTACTGCCGCTTTCCCTCATTAGCGCATCATCGCACCTCAGCGGGGGAGAATTTGTTTACCGAGGGCCTTCTTTTCACAGCATAGTAATTAATCCTGTTTCATGAAAATAAAAACAATTAAAATGCTTTATTAGTTAAGAAAAATAAGACAAAAAGTACAATCGTTTTAAAAGAAGGGCAAAGAGGACTTTGTGTGGTAAGATATGAGACTTTTTCCCCTCCAGCGGGAAAACATACAACATTTATAAGCCTCAATAAGAATCAATCTAGGGGCCAGCAGAGGGGCAGCACTTCCAATCACCAGCAACAGGCCTGGGGCTTCACTTATACTGTGTTTAATGGAACAATGTGAGGCAGAGAGCTTTCAATCATGCTTCTCTGGGACATAACCTCCTTCCTGAGACAAGTTCCTCATCAGGAACCCTTAGGAGAACGGGGGCCCCCGGCTTAGCTGGGGCCGCTCATCAGAAATGATGTTTCTGCACCTTATTGTGTTCAAGGAAAACACAGCTCATTTATTCCAAGAGCAAAGAAGGTCAACTTCTTTAGATACAGAAATATGATTTTCTTCTAGCTGACCTGAGAACATTATGACTGGGAATAGTTTAAAAAATATAAAAATATAGTTGTTGTTTTTTTTCCAAAGAGGATTTCTGATTCTATTCGACATAAAGAGTTGGACCAGTGCATATGGGTATTAAACTAGCGTGCACGAATGTCTAACTAGTGCAGATGCTAATAGTAACAAATGAAAACTGCTATTAAGGAACAAATATTTACACACACAGCTTATAAGCTTATATTTATATAGCACCTTTCACAGACATAGAGCTCACAAAGTGCTTCACAAAATTACATTACAGTGGAGACTTAAAGGAATAGTACACCCAAAACATGATTAGCCTTCATTTTCTACTCACCCCCATGCTGAACAACACTCTGGAGTACTTTTTTGATATCTCAAATGCATCTGGAGATCTGGGAGGCTTCTTGCTGTCTGCTGACATTCAAATAATGGAGGTCCATGGCGCCCGAGGCAGAAAGGTCCATAAAAGTCCACAAAAACGTGTCAATATTCCTCCATACTGCTCGTCCAATGTATTCCAAGTGTCCTGAGTGGGTAGCGTCCAGAATTTACTCGAGTTCACGAGCCTACGGAAACCGCGGCAGACCAAACCAGATGAAAGTGCGCATTCAGCGTCTGCTCTGCCGATAATGCAAGCGTAGAAGAAGAAATGTGCTGTTTACCTGGGCAAAGAAAGAAACAACGAAAGAAAAATGTCTGAGGACTTCAGTGTTGAGGAAGAGCATGAGTTCTTTGCCGAGCTGAATGCGCACTTTCATCTGGTTTGGTCTGCCGCGGTTTCCGTAGACTCGTGAACGTGCTTTCAGGAAATCCTATACACTACTGTTTATGCTCAAAAAACATTCTAAATGACTTCGTTTCGAGTAAATACATTGGACGAGCAGTATGGAGGAATATTGACACGTTTTTTGTGGACTTTTATGGACCTTTCTGCCTCGGGCGCCATAGACCTCCATTATTTGAATGTCAGCAGACAGCAAGAAGCCTCCCAGATCTCCAGATGCATTTGAGATATCAAAAAAGTACTCCAGAGTGTTGTTCAGCATGGGGGTGAGTAGAAAATGAAGGCTAATCATGTTTTGGGTGTACTATTCCTTTAAACAAATATGTTTTCAGTTCACTCTTAAAAACATCAACAGATTGAAGTCAGCGGAAGAAAAGCGGGAGATCGTTCCAGAGCGCCGACGAGTACACGGGACCATGAGCAGGTTCAGGTCTGAGACCTCAGCCTCCCAGAGGGGGGGTATAAGGACACAAGTCTCTGATGTAGGAGGGAGGCTGGCCGTGGAAGGCCCTGAAGGTCAGCACCAGGATTTTAAACTGGAACCGAAAAGAGAGACTGGGAGCCAATGAAGAGCTTTTAAAATCGGTGTAATATGAGCTCCTCTGTTTGTACCTGAACCTGCTGAAGGTTCAGATCTCTGGCAAGCTGTGCAGTCAGCTTACATACACTAAAGCTGACTGTACATACTGTAGGCATGCCTTTACAGAAGAAGCAACGGTTAGCAGGGAGACCATGTGAGGAATTTTAATTAAAACATCTTCACCATAAAGAGAGACGGTCGTTTAATGCTTGTTTTGCTTGGCCTTATAAAAATGCCTGTTCCTCCTGTAATAGGATCTTCTAGAATAGTTTGAGACTCTCTTAGGAAAAACAGACGATTCAAGCTTCGTTAGCTCATTAATAATGTCAGTCATGGAAATAAAACTAGACCTAACTTCGCAGAATAAATGCTGCATAACAGATTGATCTGGACCAACACTCAGCCTCTCGCTATTTCTCCTCGGTTGCTCGGCAACCACAGCATCGGGTCTTTTTAGAGGCATCAATCATTTACATTCACGGCATGTTATTGTGTCTGGAATTCTTTCATGTTAGCAAATTCCTCTCCTATTGTCCCCGCTGATATTACAGAGCAGAGTTTAGAACCAAAACCTGCCAGTTAATTAGATTTGATTTGGCTGCAGTTTATAGAGCTGGCAGCAGAGGACATCCAAGAGTAAACTCTCATTTGCACGCCTGCAGATCTCAAACATACCACTGGCATGAATCACATAGTTGGAAGTGTGAATCCTGGATGTGGGTTGCCAAGTAACCAAAATCCCAGGAGCCACAGATTCTCAGATCAGTCATCTTCACTTTATCTTTCTGAAATAGCAGCCATTGCTCGGCTCAAGGACCGCTGAGCAACATTTACTGCAGTAAAAGCTGATAGTCACCTCATTGGATTTAGATTTAGGTTATTTACAATTGATGTAACAGTCTGGCAAATCAAATAGATGTTTATTCCACCCAACATAAAGAGCTAGTGCAGAATCCCCTGCTGAATGCACCTGATCTGCACAGCAAGGCGAGATGTATGGAGTCAGAAAGGGGTCAAAATGTTTAGAAACTTATAAATCTTATTTAAAACTGAAAAAATAAAAGTTGATATTGAATGTCAGATTTTTACCTTATAATCTGAGAAACTAAAGGAGCAACCATAAAATAATAAGAATTGAATCGAAATTCTTTCCATCACTTTCAAAAAACTAATAATTTAGTTTAGTATTTGAATTACACTTTTCTTTCTTCTTTACTTTATTGCTTTTTTCAATTTTATTTTTTTATATTTTCAGATTTAAATCCATTTCTTTCAGTTTATATTTTCTTTTTTTTTTTTCAAATTCCCTTTACAGTTTCAGGATTTTTCTGTTACACTTTCAAATCCCTTTTTTTTACATTCAGATTTTGACCCCAATCTGATGGG